AGGGAATTCATTTTGTTCACTGTTGTATCCTCAGTGCAGAGCAGTGCCCTGAAGTGCTGAGTGACTGCACGGATAACGAATGCTGTTCCTGTCACCTGGACTGCTCTCCAGCCCGTCTGTGCTTTATCGGCTCCCGGCCATCCTTCAGATGTCAGTGCAATTGTCACTGCCACAGTGAAGCCTTCCCTGGCCTTCAATAGTCTGTCTAATTGGTAATTTAAAGCCTTTCCAAACACCCTTCCTCTTTAGCACTTGTCACAGCCAGAATTTTACGCTCATCTGAATGATGTATTGATTAAAACTGCTCCCTCACTAGACTTTAAACTCCACCAGGGCAAGAACCCTATCTGTTTTTGCTCCTCAGTGTTTCCTCAGAACTTGTCGCAGAGCCCAGCACTTGGTAGACACTCAATAAAGATTTCTTGAACGAATCAAGGAACAGATAGATTTGGCCTTTATTTGAGTTTCTAACACCTTGACTTCACCAACCAATTTAGTTTTGTTCCTCAGGACTACTTAATTTTTCATCATGTTTTTTAAATTGAGAGATGAAATTGTCAGCAGGTAGGCCATGAATTTAAAGTGGGGTTGCTAGAATAACCACTCCCATATGGACACCTGGGGAGCTTGTTTAACAATCAGATTTCTAAGCCTCACACCTCTGTTTTTCATATGGATTAAAAAATACCAGATATCTTTCAGGAGCCTCATACCTTATCTTATTTTGTTCCTCCATCATTAGAAGAATTAAAAGCAGACGGTAACCCCAAAATATGTCAATTATCATACAACAGGTGAACTGTAAACTGAAGCTCAGCTTGCTACACTCAGTGGGGAAGATGGGCTTTAGAATATATTCTTTGATGAGTGAAAATGCTTTTAAAAACAACCATTGTTGACCTAACTGCAAAGAATGTCAAAATCAAGTAACTACAGAAAGAACATTGCTGAGTTTCTGCACATGAAGGAAAAAACCCTTAACAGTCTCCCTGTGTTTCTTCTGCCCAAGACAAAGAATCTCTTTCATGAATTTCATCCCAATATGCAGAATGCCAATCAGGGACATCTGCACTTCAGAGGAGATTAAGATCTGCCAGAATATGATGGAAACAAATTTGAATGAATCATTACAAAAATAATCAATTTTATAGCAAGTTTCCCAAATGAAGTTTTTTGATAGTACAGTACTTAAAAATAATAGCTTGTCTAAAATTTAAATCTTTAAAGTAATTGTAATTCTAAGAGAGGGAGTGCCATTTCCCACAAGAAAGAACAGCAGTATTACCCTACTTATTTTAAAATGAAAAATCCTGACTATTTTTTGTTTGATTTAGAAACGAAATAACCAATATCAAAGGTTGAAATGTAGGATTATTAGAATATTTTGGTGAGGAGAAGGTAAATTAGGTTAGTAAAGGTAATGAAGTTTAAAAAACCTACTTTTTAAAAAGAAAAAATGGAAGCCAATTTTTTTGACTTACTAAAGTGTACTAATGAAATGTACATAGTTTTTGGCTATGATTTTGTTCCAATATTAAGTGTAGAACAAGGAAGATTTTAATTGTCCTGGGAAATTAAATGCAACATAAAAATTCTTAGAAAATTTTTCCTGCAGTCAAGAAAATGCTGCTTTTTCAGACATTTCCTTATCTCTTATTTCTGGTGTTCTTGAAAAATTGATTGATTAATAAAGCAATATGTGCAGATAAAACTGCCCAGAGACAATCAGTTGTTATGTTCCTGTATAAAAGGCAAAATGACATCTGGTCCATAGAGAAGAAAGTAAAGGGACCTACTTCTCACTCATAACTAAAATTACCCTTTCACTGTTTATTGACTCTAAAAAGATGAAAAGAGTGAATACATATTAATTGTCAGGAGTTGAATAGATAATAAGTAATCATTGTGTCAGGAATAGTGGATGAACCATTATCATTTTTATATCGGCAATATTTTGTTTCAGATATATTCATTATAATGTTTCTATTTCCTCTAATTTTAATTAATTCCCTTCTCAAAATTTTCTAATGACTTCTATTAAAATTACTGCTCAAAATGCCTTAAATGAAATGTTTCGTAGCTCTCAGCAACAAAGGAACCAAATCTAGTGACAAACATCAGAATCAGAAATACAACAATTACAGGACATAGGGTGCCTGGCAGAAATCTGGGCACCTCCACACTCTTAAGAAATCTCTCATTCCTCACAAAGATAGAAAAAAAGAAATCTCTTATAAAGGGGGAAAGTGACATTTGCTTTAAATTATATTTTCTAATCTTACTTCTAAAACATCTAAGTAAAATAAGCCTTCAAAAACTATTATATTCCATGTTCTTTCAAACATACCATCTCACTGTGTTTTACGTGATGCTCCACCAGGCTATCTCCACTATCTTCCCAAATGACTTTAACTTCTGCTCTGAAAGAATTCAGTGGTGTTCTACACCATTCCACAAAACACTTGCTTAGAGGAATTGAGAGGTGCTACATACAGGCTCCAAACCAGGGTGGGACTAGATAGAACTAAAGTGATTTCAAGGTGGAATGAAAAAAGTACAAAGACTAGATATATCTGCAAACTCTCTGATAAGATGAGAAGAAAGTTACAAAAATATATGACCACTCCACGATACTAAATCAAAATTATTTCAGATGGATTAGAATGTCATTTCGGAAGTAACTCACTATCATAAATAGGTTTGTGTCTCTGATATAGTTTGAAAGAGCCTCCTGTAGCTTAACCCTTTTTCCTTCCCAGAGAAAATTTTAATATGAAGTTTTGCTAATTAACTCCTTAGAGGTATTTTAGTAACAAAGATCCTGTCTCAGTACTTTTCAAACTTTCACTATCAGAAATAGAAAGTACAACAGTTTAAATCTGAAGACAATTCTCAGATCCTATGTTGCTAAATAAATAAAGCAAGCACAGAGGCTTCACTGTAGGTTTTGGGAACAAGACTTCTACTGCTCCTTTCCCCCCAATTCTTTCACTCCAAGTCAAATTAACTCATGGAGGAAACTATATAATAAAACCAGAATGGTATCTAACTAAGTGCAAATATCATCCAACAAAAGAACCCATAAGGATCACTAACATTTATTGAGCGCTCACTATATTACAGACAATGTCCCATGCACCATGCAATTACTTTCTCATATAACCCTTACAATGACTCCATGAGGCAACAAATGAGAATGCTTAGCTGAGAAAGCTTAAGAGCAGGAATTTCGACCCAGGATCTCTGTCTCCAGAGCCATATAGTTTCCCTTCTCCTTCTATATGAAACTAGTAAGAGGATTCTGGCTAAGTATTCTCTAGGCTGAAGAGCACGTACTGTCACTTCCATGTATTGTCATTTGGTTTGGAAATAGGGAAACTGCAATCACTTTTGGAATAGAAATGAGGTGAGGCCTTGAGGTGACTAAAGGTATGCTAATGTGATAACTGTTGAGCAAAGCTGTGGCAGGTCCAGTCGAGGGAGGATATGATTGCCTTCATTAATCTTCGCTACTTGTTTATTTTGGAATTTCCACATCGGTATTTGTCCAACAGTCTTATTGGGTAGCCAGAAAGGCCAGGGATCTATATGAGTTCTGATCCTTCCTTGAGACTTACTAAAAATAGTAATAGTAGGTCTTACTAGACCTACTAGAAATAGTAGGAGTGATCCAGAACCCCTTCGTCCAATTTTCCCGCTGGAAAACAAATTATGTTAATTTTTTAGAGCATTATGTAATTGGTGCTGTCCTGCAACTGTAAGCTTCGATCAATAATAATACCACAGTAATAGTAACAACAATAGCAAACATTTTTTGTGCCAAGCCTTCTGGTAAGGGCTTCACATGTATTATGCCATCATAACAATCCTACAAGGCAGGCATTATTATTACAAATAAGAAAACTGAGGCTCAAAGAGGTTAAGCAAATTGTCCAAAAGTTCTATATTTACAAAGTTAACTAACTTCTGGTTAATTCCTGTTATATTTATATCCTTTTGCTTCTAAGAAGGACATAAGGCAATTAATATTCATTTGGTAACTCTTCATTAGTTCCATATAAGCATGTATCTTTCATACTATCGCAGTAACTCCACTTTGCAATTTAAATATACTATCTTTTAAAAACACTGCTTAAATCTAATACATCAGTACTCTGGTATGTATTGGATTTGAACATGGTCCATGGAGAAGCCACATGAAGAAAAAAACCAGGTGAGATGTTTATGGAATGAGGCCCTTTTCCAACTCCCTCATACCCAACAGGACAATCAGCCTTCTGAGTACTTTGGAGTTTGATTAATTAATGAAAAACAAACCTCCAAACCAAAAATCTATTGTCAGGCACAAGCTGGAATGTATAATCTCTGCTGTAAGTATGAAAACTAAGTTTTGTGTTTTAATTGATTTTTTCTAGTTAAATTCAATAAAATGATCAAATGCATTTGAAATATCATATTCTTCCCTGGAGCTCTCAAGTCCCCTTCTACTTCAATCTATGTTTGACTCCCTTATGAGAAGAACCCTTAGACTACAAATTCGCACCAGATGTGCCAAAGTGACAGTTGGTGGTGCAGATTCTCACCGCAGAACTGAATTTCAGAGGCTGGAACAACTATCTTCCTCCACTCAATGCCACCCCCTTACCCGAAGTTCAGTGTTTCATGTCATGCAGAGTGAGCTTTTTCAGTCTTTTTTTCATTCAAATGCTTAAATAATTTGCAACAATTATTTGGTGTGGACTTCACAGCACAAAGTGAACCAAGGACTTATTTTTAGCTAATGTAGAACATTGCAGATTTCTTGATTCTACTTCACAGAAAATTAGTCATTGATTTCCTAAGATAAATGAGTTCTGCTGAGCTATGGTGGAGACCAAGGAAAAGTGTAAATGAGGTAAAAAGACCAGTCTCTCACCCCAAGACTCATCCAGCTTGTCACTCCTATGAATAGCATTAGCAACATCTGAGACTGCATTCATTGCTTGTTTTTTTTTTCTTACCTTTTTCCTTATTTCTCTGGCTTCGGGTATTTCTAGGATCAGAAGGTATGAATAAGAGCTGAGCAGAAAATATGGCAGAAGAATTTAAATGATTTCTAAAGAGCAATGAGATAGTCTCTCACGGTATCCAGACCAGCAGCTTTTCGTTAGGAGAGCGCTAGCACCTCTGGAAGAAAGGTTCACTGCGCATTATATCCCCATGCCTGAAGTCCAACTCATCCCAAGCTGAATGGGAAGGCTCTGTGGGCTGGGCTTCCCATGGATAACTGCCATCATCTTTGTGTTGTGCAACACAAGAAATCCCTTCTGGTCCTAAAATGTTGCCATTGCATCCCTTAGCACGTCAGAGTTTGAGAAACACACTTCTTTAGTGATTAGGAACTGAGGAAGTTATCTTGTTAATTCATTCAGTCAGTCATCTATCCAACAAGAAAAATTATCCATGACCTGCTATGTATTAAGCATTGCACTCTGTTTTGGAGATAAAGAGTTCTGAAGGTGAAGGATGTGTCCAAATATACAGACTTCCACACATAAAGGTCATTCCACATCCCCTCACCTACCTCCCAGTTTTATATGTTTGCTCAGGGAAAGGGAGAAGAGATTTTATAGATGCAGGAATGCACAGTGGTTAACAGCACTATCTCAAAAGTTATATTGCTATGTTTCAATTATAACCCTGACATATCTTAATTTTTTTTTCTTTTTGAGACAGGGTCTCATTCTGTTGCCTGGGCTAGAGGGCTGTGGCGTCATAGCTCACTGCAACCTCAAACTCCTGGGCTTAAGCCATCCTCCTACCTCAGCCTCCAGAGTAGCTGGGACTATAAGCTTGTGCCACCATGCCCAGTTAATTAATTGAGTAACTCTGGACAAGCTTTGTAACTGCTAAGTGCTTTAGTTTCTCTGTCTGTAATCCTGGGGTGGAGATAATTATCATACTTCCCTGAGGATACTGTTGTGGGGATTAAAGGGATTAATTTATGTAAATGATCTAGGATAGTGTCTGACAACTAGTAAGCACAGTATAAACATTACGAATATTTTCATCATCCTCTGAGGTTTATCAGATTTCCTAGATTTCATTTGGAACAAATTGTCAGTATGCATGCAATTCTGCTAAAAAATGTTGTTCTGATGAAGACAGCTGGTGTCAGTTATCTATAATAGCATTATGAATAATGATGGAGCTTTTTTCCCAGGGCTAGAAACAAACAAGTACTGTACCTCTAGCATTCTAAATCAGACCTTATTAATGGGTAAATTCAAATTTAGAGAGATTAAGGTGACAAAGATTCCCACCTTGACCAAACTTTGGTCAGGCTCCTCTGAGCCCTCTTCTGAACTAGAACTTGACACTGACCTGCTGAGCCCAGTTTTAGCAAAGAATCCTGCTAACCAGTTTATTGAGAATCTTCCTCACCCTTGATATCTAATCAAGTTCTTCTCCCTCCCCTCTTCCTTGATACCTTAAGTAAGTTTCTCTTGGAAATTTTTCATCTTACCCCTCACCCTGCCCACTGGCTCTAAATCCCCACTTTGTCCCTATTTATACTTGGAGTTGAGTCCAGTCCCTCTCCCATACTGCGACAGTCTTGACCCCGATTACAATAGTCTTACATAAAATCTTCCTTGCCACTTAAAGAAAGTGTCAGAATAAGTTCTTTTTAACAATCAAAACAATGAAATATCACTATAATTGAAATATTATTAAGTCTCTACATAGGGAAATGGGGGAAAGTTGAAACAGATTGGAACAGTTTATGATGCTTGGAGACAGACTTTCTTAGGACAGGAGGGTGATGATCGTGAAGAGTGGCAAATTATAAAAGCCAGCTTGGAAAATTAGAAATACTTCCCAGGGCATCGTCTGCAATTGTATTTCCCATTAAAAATACAAGGTTTAAGGTCAACTCAGGTTCATCCTAATGCAAACTCATTTTCTAAAACTGGAGGTAATAATAATGATATTTCCCTCTTAGGCTTATAACATCATGTCTGGCTGTAAGATTAAATGCGGGAGAAAACTGGCTATGAGGTAGACCATTTAGCAAGAAATAAAGTGTCTAAAATAATTTGACAAACTGGAAAGACAAAAATGAAATCAATTAGATGGGGTATTTAAAGAAGTTAAAATTTGGCTCAGCTTGAATATATATACTAGAAGGGAAGAAGGAATTAATAAGTAGTTATGATAATTGCATTTTTCTAATTGAGAACAACCCTTTAGTTTTCAGAATACATCAGTCAGATTCTAGAAACCCTAATTAGGAGATGTGGGAGAAGTTAGTGAGAGAAAATGTCGATGAATGGAGAAAAAAATGTGCACTTACACTAGTCATCATAAATGATTTTCTGTCATTTACTTTCTAAACAGGCAATCGCTATTTTTGCCTGAAAAAAGTATTTATAAATAGTATAAAGGCCTTGGTTTTAAGCTCAAGTTGTAGATATATCTATACTAATGTCAAATTCATCTATTAATAGAGATGTATAGTAAATCATTTATGACAACAAACTCCACCTCTGTTTAGGATTACCGCAAAGTAAAATCTTTCTGATGTCCTCAAAGACATTTATGCATAGGATTCCTATAGCTTCTGATTTATGGGAGAAAACTACTCTAAGCCTTCAACTTACTCCCAGAAAGAGTTTTGATACTGCTCTAAATCTATATCTGACATTCATTCACAGGGAAAATTTAATAGAGAAAGGGTCTGCATGCAGGAAGTGAAGGAGGCCCTTAAAGAAAAATTGACAAAGCCAGAGTCCATTAAAAACTAACCTTGAATGTCAAAGAAAGTCCTGGTTCTAGTCCCCGCTCTATTTCTAATTAGCACGGTGACCTCTGGGGCTCGATTTGATCACTTGTAATGTGCAGAGATGGTGATCTCTAAGTACCCCTCTAGAGCTTCAAAATTCTCTTGATTTGTAAGAGCAGTAAGTAACATAATAAAAGGTTTGCTCCTAAACACTTCAGATATCTAGCTTTCTAAATCTGGCTTCAATGCCTCTATTTGTCATTCAGTTTTTCAACCCCAAAAAGGAAAAGTTTTCTGTACCTGAATTATAAGAAACATCAAAGCTTTTTGGATAAAGAAAAACAAGTGATGCTATCACTTTACTCCCTGAGGTCTTTTGAAAATGAAAAAGCTGATAATTGCACCACAAATGTAAGCATTTGCAAAATTACTTATATTTATGCAAACAACCCAATTTTAGTTTTTAATGATTGAAATTGGTCTAAATATTAATTGTTCCTCTTCTTTTTCTTTCTTGTCTACTCAGAGTTACAACACATATATTATTATCAGAAAAATATTTTCTCATATCCATAGTGTGAGCTAATTTACAGATTACCATTCTAAGTATTGAGGTACAGCAGTACACTAAACAAAGTCCCTGTTCTCATGGGACATACCTTCTATCAGAGTTGTCCTGTTTTAATAATATTGATAGCTCCTGCTTGCAGAAAAGTATGAAGAGGAAAATAAAATACCACCTATATTAGACTCTTTAATGCTGTCTCATTTGCTTCAGGCATTTTTTTTCCCCAAAAGAAACGGTAGCAATTTACAATCCCAACTGCAATGTAATTTTTATTTTATGTAACAAACACTATTTTAGTATTTACTGTGAGCCAGGTGATGATCTAAGTGCTTTACAGTATTAACCCATTTGATCTTCATATAAATTCTGTTAGGTAGATAATAATACGCCTAACTTGGATATTGAATTCTAAGGTGGAAGATTTTTATTTTCAGCATTTTAAAGGTACCACTCCATTATCTTCTGACTTTCATGGTTTCAGAGAAGTTAGCCATTATTCCCTTTCTAGCTACTTTTAAAATTTTTCTCTCTCTCTTTTGTTTTACAGTAATTTTCTAAGTGTCATTTTTTTTTTTTTTTGCATTTATTCTGCTTGGCATTACTTAAGATTTTTTAACCTGTAGCTGTCATTTTAAAAATCAACTTTGTAAAATTCTTGGTGATATCTGTTCAAATATTTCTTCCACCCTATTCTTTTTCCTCTCTTTCTGGGACTTCAATTACATATATGTTAGACTGTTTGATATTGTCCCATTGGCTTTTTCATTCC